GGTAATAATAATGATGATAATGATAATGATAATAATAATAATAATAATAATAATAATAATAATAATAATAATAATAATAATAATAATAATAATGATAATAATAATGATAATAAAATCAATAATGATAATAATGATAATGGTGATAATGATATCAATAACAGTAATAAAAATAATAATAATAATATTAACAGTGATAATAATAATGATATCAATAACAACAATAACAATAATAATAATAATAATGATAATGCTATGAAATAAATAGCAAATAATGATGATAATAACTATGACACTAATAGTACTAAAAATAACTACAACAATGCAATAATAATAATGATACTGACATTAATGATTCCAATAACGATGATGAAAATTAATGATAACAATAAAAAATGCAATTATATCATTCAATTATAAGCAATACTGATGTTACAAAACCTGAAATTAAAATTATTGTTACTTTGGAAAAGTTATAAGAAATAATAATACTAATTACTTGTCATAATCATAACAATATGAAGAAGATGATTAAAGATATGAAGATGAACAAATAAAGGCAAAGATAATGAAGCTTTAACTATTACCTTTGTTTATATTAATAGTAAAAGAATAAAATTGATAATGATGGTGATGATTGTAATTGTGATTGTGATAATGATGACAATGATGATGATTGGTGATGATGATGAATGATATTATTAGTGATAATAATAATAAAAAATAATTATATTAATGATGATAATGATAATATTAACAACAACAACAACAACAAAAACAGCAAAACAGCAACAATAATAATGGTTTTACTTGCTCGATATTTGATTCATTTATTCACATAGAAATACAACTAAATATATGTCCGTTAACTTATGGTCAACAGGACAAGACACAGATAAAAAACAAAAAACAAAAACAAACAAACAGAAGCGCCCTATAACAAAGTAACGAAGTTATCATATGACAGAGAGTGACACCACGTGATGGACCAACAGGAGCAAAAATAGAAATGCATCAGTCTACGAACTCTTAAGATATTAACGCGGGTGGCAGGTAGGAAAAAATAATGATATATAGTGTTCAAAATGTGCTGAGACAGAGGTAGGTCAGGATGCGTCCAACAATAAGAAATGGATAGTGTGATGACCAGCAAGGGCGTGACCAGATAAAATGACGCTCAATGACGGAATTTGTAGTAGTAGTAGAAGTAGTAGTAGTAGTGGTGGTAGTGGTAGTAGAAGTAGTGGTAGTAGTAGTGGTCGTAGTGGTGGTAGTAGTAGAAGTAGTAGAAGTAGTAGTAGTAGTAGTAGTAGTGGTAGTAGTAGTGGTAGTTGTGGTAGTAGAAGTAGTAGTAGCCGTGTTCATCTCGGTAAGCCCGTTCGAAGTATTTTAGTGCACCATCGTGAGGTAACATAGTGGACAAGAACTAGAAATGTAAGACAGTAGCATTATAGTGCTATTCTGGAAAACAGGATTAGGAAAGGAAAATGAAGATTTATATAATGAAACAACCTGATGATCAAATTTAACTAATGCTGTGACAATATTGTGTTAAAGGTTAAAACAAATAAATGTCCTTGTCATATGTTAATATTGTGTTAGATATATCTTCCTTTTTTTAACAGGTACTGAAATAGATAGGTTAATTTGAAACTGAAATTTAATCATTAAGGTTGATAGCTCAGCGGAAGTGCGTAGACAGTGACGAGTCCTGTAGTTTTCCGACGGAGCGTAAGATTGATTTTTTTTTTGTCTATCAAGTATTTGCTTTTATCAAGATTATTGCCTTTATTTGCATGATGGTTGATGCTTTTATTTAGTAATACAAACTTAATTTACGATTGTTATAATTAACTATTTGATTTCTTATTATCTTTATTATTTTGATATAATACTTAATTCAGTGATCATATTTATATTAACTTAATAATTTGCTTCTCTAGTGCTATTTTGTTTTATGATATTTGATTAATTAAGATATGACGTTGTTTTGAATATTATTAATTTTGTTTTCATCGAGATTCATGATTGATGATTATATAACAGTGAGTCAGTCATAACTGTCTAGTTGTATGTTAAGAGTCTTATCTGTTTTTTTGTTTCACAGAAACTTTAGTATTGTAGTTTTGTTAAATAATACTGATGATTATTATTTAAAAAAATCTTTTGATTATTATGAAGGTTTTATTCGGTCCTGGAACTGAATTAATTAATAGTATTAATATTGTCACTTTGAAATCACTTGAGTACTTATTCAATGTTAC